TATATATATATATATATATATATATACAAGCTTGTTAAAAATTTGACAAAATATATATATTTTAGAATATTTGTATTATATTATTTTATTATGGTATCATTGTTAATATTAATATATATTGTATTAATACTATATTGTTTATATGACATTTCTATTATTTATTTATTTTTTTAATTTTTATAACACGATATTAAATAATATTTATATAATAATATATATATATAACTAATTTAATATAAATTGCAACAAATGTAGCAGTATAAACTCTACAGAGTGCATAGATCAAAGCTTTTTATTATTATTTTTATGTCATCTCAATTTTTTTTTTGCACCATTCTATATATTCTTAAGAGAAGGTTCTCTTCTGTATCGTCATAAAGTTTCGGCAATAATAAACCATTGAAAGCATTCAGGGGTCATCTACGTTGAATACCATAGCTGCTGTTCCTTCAAAAACCAGGATGTGGAGCTCTGCTCATTCTACCAAATTAAATTAAGGCCTTGCTTAAATTAGGTGCACGTAGACATTTCCTCTTACAAAATTGTCATGTGATTATCTAAGGACAAGACTGAGAATGTAGAACATCCAATAGCTCATGAATTTGCAGCAACTTGGTGAGTAGGCTTCTGCCCGCAATTAGAATCTTCAAATATTTAGGTAATACGCAGACTTATTTAACCAAAAATATTGAGGGGATTGCTCATAGAGGAAGCATAGAAGACCAAGTAGTCCATCAAATTTGCCCCATTGTTTTATTTTTTTTTTTTTTTACTTTTTTTGGTTAAGTGTGGTGATCTATCCAACAATTTCATGGAAAATCTAATTGATGTGTGGTCAGTTTGGGTTTTTCTCTATTTGCTCAGTTCCAGAAGATCTTCCTTAGCGGGTTCGCCATCAGTAACCCCTCTCGGAAGTGTTTGCAAAGCTAATTTGGTGATCAAAAGGTATTCTTCAATTTTTTTTTTTCTTAAATCCGAGGTGAGGTGCACACACTCAAAACTAACACAGGTGCAAAAGTGAGCCCTGATCCCCTGGGGTGCGAGACCCCTCATGAGCACTGGGGTACCTGTGGACCACCCAGTAAAAACTAGGTAGACCCCATTCTTCTAGTAACCTTGAGTTCACTCAAGTACTTGTTGGGGTTCCCCTTAAAGGGAGACCCCATAGGAGGGGGGTGAACCTGACCACAAGGCCACATGCTTCCCGCCAAGACATTCAGGGCAAGTCTGAGGACCTACACCCTATTAATCAGGCTCCAAAAAGCAAGAGCCCTAATTCTGATCCCCTGGGATGCGTGACTCCTGACAAGGACTGGATTACTCAAGGTCCACCCAGTCAAAGCCAGGTAGACCCCATTCTCTAAAGGGACCTTCTGAAGCAAGGTTCACCTTAGTACATGGTGAAGTTCCCCTGAAGGGAGACCCCCAAGGGAGGGGGAGAACCTGACCATAAGGCCATGTGCCTCCTCCCCAAAGACTTTCAGGGCAAGTCTAAGGATCTACATCCAAAGAGAAAGAATCCTGGCCCTTATCCACCGGGGTGCGAGACTCCTGACCAGGACCGGAATACTTGTGGTCCATCCAGATGAAACCAGGTCAACCCCATTCTTCAAGGGAACTTCCGAAGCAAAGTTTACCCAAGTCCGTGATGGGTTCCCCCAAAGGGGTAACCCCATGGGAGGGGGAGAACCTAACCCATAAGGCCACAAGCCTTCCCCCCAAGACTTTCAGGGCCAGTGTGAGGACCTACACCCTACTAAGTAGGCTCCAAAGAGAAAGAACCCTGGTCCTGATCACCCAGGATGAGAGACTCTGATGGGGACTGGGGTACTCATGGTCCACCTAGTCGAAACCAGGTAGACCCCATTCTTCAAGGAAACTTCCAAAGCAAGGTTCACCCAAGTACTTGGTGGGGTTTCCCCAAAAGGAGACCCCCATGGGAGGCGGAGAACATGACCATAACATCACATGCTTCCCCCCCCCAAGACTTTTACAGCAAGTCCAAGAACCTACACCCTACTAATCCTGATCCAAAGAGAAAGGACCTTGGCCCTGATTTCCCGGGTTGTGAGAGTCCTGGCGGGGACTGGGGGTACTCGTGGTCTATCCAGTTGAAAACTATATAAGATGTATAATGACTGGCTGCTGTTGTGTTTTGCCCTTCTTTTTTTTTTTTTTTTTTTTAACTGATCAGGCCTTTAAATTGTCCAAATTCTGCAACTCAATACTAGAATTATTTACACAATAGAAAATAACACACATACACAAAAATATATGTATTTAAAAAAAAATTAAAAATAAAAATTAATAAATAATACACTGTGATATTTGTTTTTTATTCTTTATTTTATTGCAATTTTTTTCAGTTTGCATCGTTTATAGCTTAAAACATATTGTGAATAATTTTAACAAAATCATCTAGTACATGCAAATCAGTATTTATTATTGCAATATTCATTTACCGTTATCCATAAATATATGTATGTATTTCTTAAATCGGACATATTGAACCCGCGACTGATTTATCGCTGATCCATACTACAAAAAAATGCCCAAAAATGACACCTAAAGAACACTCCGGGGAAACTTGTCTCTGAGAAAGGCTTACTCGTCTTGTTTTAGAGCTTTAGAAGACAGCTTTAGGCATTATCCTTGTATATTTTCACTTCTTAAGGAAACTGTTAGAAATAAACACTTTAAAAAAAAATAAAAAAAGAAGGCTAAAAATAAAAAAAAAAGTAGCTTCTAAAAATAGTGTAGTTTATATATTAGTAAAAAAAAAGTTGTCTTTCTCATAAATGTTTTTCCTTTTTTTTTGCCTAAACCAGCTCACTAGTTTTAATGCCCTCATGTTGCCGTTCTTAAATCCCTTTATAGGTCACATAATCCCACCAACAGCCATAAAAGTGAGCCACAGTTTCCACAATAAAAGACCGTGGACCCCTCGTCTCGTCTGATCCTGGGCTGTGTATTTAGGAAATTGATATCTCAGCACCACGTCTTTGTTATACGTATGTCATTTTGGGATGTTTGGTGGTTTCTTTCCTTTACATTTCCAGGAATTATTTATCAAAACTAATATCTTTATGTTTACATTTTTTTCTGTATCACATTGAAGAGTACAAAAATAAATTCCTTTGGTACCATCAAATTACATTTTTTTTTTTAAATTTATAATTTTGATTATATCCATCAGCAAAGCATACAATGCAAAGTCACCACAAGGATAGAGTAGAGATAAAAGACATAAATTAAACAAATATTTTTTAAACTAATAATAAAAATAAAATTATAATATTTATAAAACTGGGGAAATATGTTTGTATGCTACAAATTCTGTTCAGGGAAAAAGTAGAGATGAAAGGCATACATTAAAAAATATTTTAAAATAATAATTAAAAATACCAACAAAAAACGTAATATTTATACATGTGGGATGATATTTTTGTACGCTACAAATTCTGTTCCAAAACAGAAATAATTTCCCTGACAAACTTGAACATATATATGTTTTTTTTTAATTAAGTAACTGCTTCCGTTGAAAGAAAAAAACATTTTTTTTTTACATCATTTTAAAATTTTTACATTTCATTTTCATTTTAATTCTTACTTTTTAAAATTTAAAATTTTTTAAATGTTTCATTTTAATTTCATTTAAATTTTTTTTTCTTTTAGGTTAATAGTTGTTTTTTTTTTCGCGTGCTTTTTTTTTTTTCAGCCTAAGTGTGTTGGTAAGTTACAGTACATACATTAAAATAAATATGTGCATGTTTTATTCATTCTCAATCATTATTAGGAGCACTTACAACAATTTGTGAGGTTTTAAAGGCAAGCTTCAAAGGTCAGTTAATTCTTGTAGGGCATCAGCAGCATTTTTAAGTCGTAGTGTAATTAAGAGGGTAGATTTTTTAAACCTTTTTCTATTTTTTTTTTTTTTTTTAGTGTTTTACATTTTTGAAAGGTTCAGCACCAGATTGTTATATGTATCTATCTGTCTATCTATTTTCTATCTATCTATCTATTATCTATCTATCTATCTATCTATCTATATATCTATCTATCTACTTATCAGTCTCTCTACCATTCAGAAGAAAAATACAAGAGTGTCTTCCATCCCTATTCATTTTAAATGTGAAATAAAGGTTACCCTTTTTTTTTTTTTTTTTTTTATGTGATACCATAATTTTACAGAGCTTATTTCAGTGATATAACCCTGAGAATCACACCTAGAAAACACCAACAGCGACATTTCAAAGCCTTTATCCCAAATTATTTCAGTTCTCTAACACTATGTTCACAGCAAGGGTTCCAATTTCTAAACCTGCAGACATCTGTGAATAAACCGAGGGACAAACTTTCTACTGTCCAAAAATCTTGAAACCATAAGGGTGACGTCCTGGTGTATATATACATATATATATATATATATATATATATATATATATTTTGTATATATATATATATATATATATATTTGTATATATAATTTTTTAATTTGTTTTATTTATTTTTTTAATTTATTTTTTTTAATTAATTAATTAATTTTTAAAATTTAATTTAATTTTTTTAATGTGAGGAGTCTATCTCTTCCACCCAATCAGATAATCCTTTTTTTGTGTGTGTAACTTGTTTGAACTTCTCATAAAATGAAACCATCACCTTATCACAGCTGAAGTGGTATGTACTCAGAGCTCAGATTAGGAACTTTTTTTTCACTTTTTACATTTTTAAACCGATGTTTTAAAAAATCATATTCAGATCTTACAGCTGCTAGAAGATACCCTTTTAAGCATATTATTATTTTTTTTTAAATTTTTTGGGCTTTTATTCTCTTAAAAATTAAATTCAAACTGAAAAAGATTAGCGGGGATCAAAAAAAAAATCAAGTTTTATTTTAACGTTTCACTTGTTTCATCAAAAGGTGGTTGTAATAAATGAACTAATTGTGAAGGCAACAAAGAGTGTGACAGAGGGGAAAAGAAAGAAAGGGGCATAAGGAAATAGGGTGGGAGAGGAAAAGGAAAGGGAAGGAAAGGAGAGGAGAGGAAAGGAAAGGAGAGGAAAGGGAGAGGAAAGGAATGGAAAGGAAAGGAAAAGGAAAGGAAAGGAAAGGAGTGGAGAGGAGAGGAGAGGAGAGGAGAGGAATGGAAAGGAAAGGAAAGGAAAGGAAAGGAAATGAAAGGAAAGGAAAAGGAAAGGGAAAAAAAAAGGGAAAGGAAAAGAACGGAAAGGAAAGGGAAAGGAAGGGAAATGAAAAGAAAGGGAAAGGGAAAGGAAGGGAAAGGAAAGGAAAGAAAGAAAGGGGTGTAAGGAAATAGGGAGGGAGAGAAAAGGGAGAAGAAAGAAAGAAAGAAAGAAAGAAAGAAAGAAAGAAAAAGAAAGAAAGAAAGAAAGAAAGAAAGAAAGAAAAAGAAAGAAAGAAAGAAAGAAAGAGAAAAGAGAGATGAGGAGAGGAGATGTGTAATAAATTAACTAAATGTGAAGGCAAGAAAGAGTGTGACAGAGGGAAAAAGAAAAAAAAAATAGAGAGGGAGAGAAAAAGGAAAAGTAAGAAAGAAGGAAAGAAAGAGAGAGAGAGAGAGAGAGAGAAAAAAAGAAAGAAAGAAAGAAAGAAGAAGAGAGGAGAGGAAGAAAGAGAGAATGAGTGTGACAGAGGTAAAGAGAGAAAGAAAGGAAATTAGAGAAAAAAGAAGGGAGAGAAAGGAAAGAAGATAAATAGAAAATATATATATATATATATATATATATATATATATATATATATATATAAAAGAAAGAAAGAAAAAGATGCGGAAGGATAGAGGAGAGAGGGAAAGGTAGAGAGGAAGGGGAATGAGAAATAGAAAAAAGGAGAGAAAGGAAGGAAAAGACAGAAAGAAAGAAAGAAAGAAAAAAGAAAGAAAGAAAGAAAGAAAGAAAGAAAGAGGGAAGGAAGGAAGGAGAAAGAAAAGGCAGGAAGGAGAAAAAGAAACAATGAAGACTTGAGACTCTTTTTTTAAATCTCGTCACCTTTTGGAATGTGGAATGGAAGGGAAAGAAAAAAAAAAAGATATAAAAAAACAATGAACACAACACATTCAGATAAATGTATCTGTGGCAATATTTCTCAAACTATAATCAGAAATATATTTATGTTGTTAATTATTTATGGCTATATATTGTAATCAGGTTATAGATGTACTCTCTGCCTATTACACAATGACAGAACCAATGGACATCCTACACGTGGAAACATACAAAGATGACCTTCACAAGGAACAGACAATTGTCATGCAGAGGGCAGACTGTAGGTGTGCACCTATTATACTGACAATGAGAATATATCACAGATTGGTACATTTCAGGTTAAATAAGGAACATTTTATAAATTGCTACCTATACATAGTAGTAGTTTATAATAGTATCATTGTTTTTATCTTTATAATAAGTATTAGTGGTTTGTAGAAGTAATACTCAACAGACATTGTAATATCTCAGCAGAGCGGTCTACATGTCCCCCGCGTTGTTGTCTATAATTTGCTAAAGGGAATAAAAGGCACCCTTGTGCTTCCATCTTTTTTTTTTTTTTTTTTTGTCCAAGTCCCAAATGTCTATTTTTCCTTAAATTTCCCTAAACCCGATTGGGTCTTTCAAGTGAACACAGGTTGGAAGGGGGTGGTTACCTAAGGTGCTCCAGCAGAGCCTGAACCGCCCAATCAGGTTAAAGAGAATAAAGAAAATATAATTACTAGACATTTTTTTTTTTTTTACTGTTCAGCTGCTGCACAAAACCACATAACAAGTCCTGGGTCATAAATCCGCATTTCAACATATTTTCCAAAAAATGGTAATATTACTAAAAATACTTTTTTTTTTTCGCTCAGTGGTCATGATATGACATATTCTACACTATTACTTATAAATATTGCTTAATATTTATTATTAAGTGTATTAAACTTACTTAGTATTATTTAAGGTCTCAGTAATGTATTTATTCAAATTATTCTACAGCAAGAATTATTTATTATTCAGTGAAATTAAAATATTTACTTTGATTTCTAAGAATTTTTTTTTCCTTATTTTGTGGTATATTTAGCAAAATTATAATTTTAATTTATGTCTCTTGGCAAAATCATTTTTATAAATAGGTATAATAATTAATTTAATAGTAATTAATTAATATTATAATAAAGCATGAGCATAAAAAGGGGATTAGAGAATGTGTTTATAACACAGATATATCAATACAACAATTAAATAATGTAGAGGTCACCTTGCGTTCATTATGTTATATAGGTGTTAATAATATGTTGAATTACACTTTGCTTCATGCATAGTAAAAGGTTGTGATATATAAAAAAAAAAAAATGCATAAATGGTATAAAAAAGTACTCTCTCATGTGGTGCTTTTACAATGGACATGAAGAGAATTATATATATATATATATATATATATATATATATATATTTATATATATATATATATATATATATATATATATATATATATATATATATATGTACCAAAAAAAGCAGCATGAATATTTTATATTCCATATAAAGCATAAAATTACATATACAAGCATAAAAATAATATTAAATATTATATATAAAAAATTTTATGCACTTATTAACATTTTAAATAATTTTAGATTATTATTTTTAATATACAATAAACAATATTATTATACAGTATTTATAAAAATAATGCATTAAGCCTATGCAATGAGAAAAGAAAATTGAGGAAATGTTTAAAAATTATTCTAAAATGTCTCAAGGTTGTCATCAATTATATTTTACATTGACTGAATATCTGAAGACAGACTTGTTCTAAATCTATACGAAATTAAATGAAAGCACCACTCCTTGGGGGAAGAAGGAGTTATTCTTGGACTTTTTTTAGTAAGAGAAGTGAATGTCAAAAACCATCCTATATCATATATCAGATTGACACTTTCCCTTTCAGAATTTAAAACATTATTAATTAAAAAAAAAAAAAAATTAAACCGATTGCGAAATTTAAAAAAAAAAAAAGTTTAATTCTGAAAAATTTCTTAAATAAATAAAAATAGTTCAAAATATAAAAAAAAAAAAGCTTTTTTTTAAATAGTTCCTGTTACAATAGCGTGTATTATAATGCCTCTGAATTACACCACCATTTGTGTTTACCTTGTACCCTTGTATCAATGCCGGTCTTCTGTTACACTTGGAAATCCTTTACAATGGCACAGTCTGATGTGCAACGTATTCATCCTACCAACACATTATTTATGCCACGCGATCCTATCATTAAAAATACTTGCCAAAAAAAATCTATTCCATTGTTCTATTCTTTTCAATAAAGACCATATTTTTTATTTTTTAGGTATGATAAAATAAGGTGTCTTAACAATAATAAAAAAATGA